AAATCTAGATGTATCTTAGAATGGCTAGTAGATTAAATTAAAAAGAGTTGGTATAAGAAACTTTACTTTGTTTCTTTATTTCTTTTGATTTTGACATTAAATATATATATATATATATATATATATATATAGGACCTAAATGTTTAGTATGAAGCATTGGAAGAAGGTAGCAGCCTAAAGATGAAGATTTAAACTAATAGGAGGTTAATTGGGAGGGATGAAACCAAGGCATGGTTGGATGAAGGTAGAAATAAGGATCTTCATCTCCATTGGTCGAAATCCATGCCCAATGGGCTTTTAGGAGGCTGCCTGCGACCTTGATAAGGGTTTCGGCGACTTCAAAGAGGCCATTAGGAAATCAAAGGCAAGGGTTATAAAGTTCAGGGTTTTGGCTACAATTTTTGTGCAAATTTTATAGGGTTTGGAGTTAGGGTGAATAAGTTATAGCCGTTTGAAGTTAAGATGTCAATTTGAGACCTACTATTACTCTTTTGAGTTTAAGAGGAGTCTTACGGAAGCTTTTGGAGATCGAAAGGTGCGGCTAAAAGGGCAACTTCAAGACATACATCTTTTGCGAAGGAAATTTTGCATTTGGAGTTTATGTAAAGGAGTTATAGGGAGTTAAAGACAACGCATTCAAATCAAAGGCAGTAAGTGAGTGGTTTTGTTCAAAGTAGTGTTAGGAGCCATAACTTGAGTTTTCGAACGAAATTTTGGCTCAAACTTTGAAAAAATGTAAACATTTGTGTTAAAAAGCTATCTATATAAGTTTCGTGGCATTTGGACTTATGGTTTGTGAGATATGAAGAAAATTGTGTGTGGGTATATAAAGATTAGGGTTTGAAGCGATTGTTTGGGTTTTGAAGATATATCAAAATCCACGACGAATTTGCGGTTGAAATTTGTTGTACAAATTAATAACAACATATCAGTACTTCAAGTAAATTTTGATCTTGTTTGGACGGTGGATCAAGAGTCATGAGGTGTTGAGGTTTGGGAGAATTTCCACATAAAGATACATAAGGTTTTAGAATACTTCTACCATATTTTGGGTGTTGTTAGTTATTTAAGACTTAAGTATTTGGTATAATTGTCCCAAAAAGAGAACTTATATATATAAAATTAGGGTTTCCTTATTTTAAGCTTGATTGAGCAATTAGTGACAGCCAGAAGTGCAGCGCTTTCTTGAGGCAAAACCTCTCTATCCCGACAGCGTGGACTAGGAGCTTGTCTTTAGGTGGGTGCTAATCTAATAGTTCTCTTGTTCTTTCCATTAAGATTGTAGGAGGTGCGGCTACAATATTTTCTATCTTTAAAGATTTTTTTTAACTAATGCAATGCAAGACTAACAATGCCATTTCTTTTTCCTTTTTTTGATTGATGACTAGGTTCTCTTATATAAGGAATTCTAAGAATTGTGGAGTAATATACTCATTGATTTCTTATTCAATATTTTATTATTTTTTTAAAAGAAAAAAATCCTTGTGGCAATGGAATTTGGTATCAAAGATTTAGTAGCAGCAGTGCAGATTCGCCACAATCCTTATTGAATTCCAAAGTGATGACAATTGCCTTTGCTCTAAAGCCATAGTAGTATTGACCAGGAGTTGTTTTCCTTACTAGCAACAGTATTGGTCTTGCGATGTTTTCTAGTATTCTCTGGTGGTGCTTCTTCTTTATAACATATGGTGGTATTGTAGTTGCAGTCAGCGTCATCTTCTCCACTTGATAGTTCTAGTTTGCAAGCTCATTAAATGTTGAATGTTGAGTCAAAGATTATAGTGGTGGCAATGCCAATGGCAATGTCTAGATTTGATGCCATTCAGATGAAATTGTGTGGAACTAAGGTATAGTTCCCATGGTTGTAAGAAGGTTATTTTTGTCCTAGCTCCCTTTTTTTGTGTCGAATATGAGTTGTGCTCTATTTTTTTTGGTTTGAACCAAATCTTAGAATTGGAAATTCCAACTTTAATTTGAGAACCATTTGATATTTGGTGATAGAAGCAGGGGATCATATAAAGAAAATTTGTTTTGGAAATTCAAAGAATACAATTTCTATTTTAGAGGCTAGATGACAATTATGTCATTTAAATGATAGGAGTATTTTTTTTTAATTGATATTGCTAATTAGTTGTACAAGTCTAGACTAGAATTGAATCATTGCATGTTGTGGAATAAATTGCGATGATCTGCTATTAAAGAGCTCTAGTGAGTCGGTGCACAGTAGCATTAAGATTTCTACCCTTCTTAATAGTATGATCCAATTGAGAAGGGAGTCAATTTGGCCAATTGCTAACTTGACTTCGAGTAGTTGGAGTACAAAGATTTGATTGCAAGGTCATTGACAAGGATGAATACGTAATAATTATAAGGCTTTGGAAATCAAGGGAGGCTGCTCGAATTGTATAACACATTAAATCTAATTTTAGAGAAATCAAGCTTCCAACTAGATAAACAAACAACCAACACTTCCAACAAGCCACTTTCTTCCAAAAACCTTCAAGGTCACAAATTTGGAATGAAATTCAAATTGGATTCAATTTTTAAAATATAATTTAGGAAGAGAACAAAGTTAAGTTAGGTTTAAAAGAGGTTAGGTTAGAATGCAATTAAATTAAGATTTGGTATGAAGTATTGGATGTTGGGTGATAATTCTAATCAAAGATGAAATTCTAGAATAGATGAGAAGTTATTTATAGATGAAAAGTTATTTATAGATGATATATAATACTTGAATGAATTTTTGTATGGATAGATGGAAATTAATAAAAAATAAAATAAAATAAAATAAAATAAAATATTTATTAATCAATTTAGATTAGATTAGATTAATTAATTAAGAATTAAGAAACAAAATTCTATATACATGTATGTGGTGAGTAGATTATTAATATAAGTAAAAATTAATAATAGATATTTTGCTTAATAATATGGTTTTTAAAGAAGATTTAAGGATTATTTAATTATGGATTAAATAAGAATCATAATATCTATAATTTACATAGTTAATTCACTTGTTGTGAACTAGAATAAACTTCCAACTAGTGCAGGTTTATTTTAGCTCACACCTTAAGACCTTGGTCTTATCTTCTAATTTACATCTAAGATACCAAAATCCATATGGAACTTGTGCAACTTCCTTCCTATAAGGACTACACTAGCTATTAATCTTCATATTATATATATATATATATATATATATTTCTAAATTTGACTTTACCATGATGTTCAAAAACACCAAATTGGCCTAAGGAACTTACAAGACATTCAAATCTTTCTCTTTTTCTTCATAATAGCTTCCAAGGTGGTAAAATTTAATTTTATCAAAGTCTTAAAATTTTCTCTAAAAATTCTTTAATAATTATAAATAAATTTTAAATAAATTCTTAAAAAATCATAATATTTTTATAATTATATTATTTTCTTACAACTACATAAAATAAATTTAAATCAACTAAAAATCTTATTTTTTATATAAATAACATAAAAATCATGAAGTTCTTTTTCTTGCTCTTTATTACTTAACTTAAAATTTAGGCCTTTTTTTATAAGTATTACATGTAAATAAAAGGTCAATATAAAAATTGATATTAATAACTAAATATTAATATTAAACAATAAACAAAAGTACTAAAATAACTATGATAATTGCTTCCAAGACTTACTAAGATTTCATTTCTTTTAACAAGATTATTATACTCTATAAACATTTCTAAATTCTAATAAATACTTAAATAATAATTAATATTCTTTAATTCTAATATTTTTATATTTGAATAATTTAGAACTATATTTTTAACATCTCCATAAATTAAATTCTACTAGTAAGACCTACAAAATCATTAACGTTTTGATAGACAGCAAAACAAAAGCAATGCTAAATTAATTCACAATGTTATTTAATACAAGGTACTTTGATAGTGAGAGTGTCTAAATGACTTATATTACCTTATTTTTTATGAAAATATATTTTTATAATATTGTCCTTTCAAACATGGTGTCTTATTTTGTATCAAAATATCTTGTTGTGTCCAATGAGATAGGTTTTTGCTAGTACATGCATTTTAATGTTTACTTTGGATTTGAGTATTTAAAAAATAATAAATTTAAAAAATTTATGTTTGTGGATTGTCGCCATTTTTAGATTTCCATTTGCATGCACGTTCCATGCTACACTAAAATATGGCCAGGCAGAATTTATAGCTTTTTGACATTTTTTTTAAAACATAAATTCTTCGATTAATTACAGTGGGAATTTTTGAAGGTATCATTATTTTTATCATAATTATTTTAAAATTTAACAACTTCTGATGTACCGTGTGGTTGAAACCGTCACACTACCAGCTCACGAAGAATAATACATATATTTTTGAATAAAACAGATGTATGAGAATAGAGATGAACCTCATTTTTTGAAACGTTTAGTTAGTATTTGAAATATAGAAAAAGAAAACAGTTGAATGAATGAAACAACGTCGATTTTCCCAGGAGTTCATCCCCCAGTGCATCTAGAAGTTCAAGTCGGAAGGGATCATGGGAAAGTTTAGGCCATGACACCCGATAAAATAATACAACAGGGTATACATTACTTTCCGGATATAAATAGCAGCCAAATGTGGATGGGCGGAGGTGGGGAGCATCGATGCCAAGCCACAGAATGCCGCCCGCACCAGAATTAAGACAGGCCCAGACAGAACGGGCAGGCTGGCAGCCGGCCACACCCACCCAATCTGCCAAGCCCGCGACCGCCGTCTCCCACGCAGCACCGCTACTTCCAGCTCAGGAGGGCCTCGAGGAGGCCCAATTTGCGATGAGCCATCTGGATTAAACTCGCACTGCATGTCCACAAGAAAATCTTAATTGATGAATGTTCGGCGCCCATCCCTCCTCCCTTGTCAAGAACGAATGAATGAATGGATGGCAGCTTGGCCAACCCCCGCTCTTGGGCCCATGCCCGCTCCCCCCCCCAAAACCCTAATCTTCATCTCCCCTTTTTCTCAGTCACCGTCGCGCATTTCGGCCTCTTTTTGCCTCCCCCCGCTCCTTCCCTTCTTTGCCTCTCAGCAGGTGGCTTGTATGCCTTCACAGGATGTATACCCTCGCCAGTCAGCATTTCTCGATCTCTCCGTTTACGTGCTGTCTCTTGCGGATTCTTACATTGTAAAGCTGGTAGCTTTCTTTCAGGGTTCGATCACGCTTTGTCTTCGTCCGACTCGAGTGTTCGGGAGTTGTCACTGGGAGTGCATCTAGGTCTTGGAACTGGGGGTTTGTCCAAGTCAGTGGCTGACGTTCAGGGAGAGTTTCCGAGGATTGGGTTTCATGTTTCGGTGGTTGGTTGAGAGGAGGCGTTTGATTGCTTGTGTGACTCTCGGCAGGAGAGCGAACTGATACATGTGACAGTGGTCTGGGGTGAAAGCTAGAGATTCTGCAGTTCGATGCGAGTGCATTCTGTGGCCTAAGCGAGATCTCCTGGTGTGGATTTTATTCTAGGGTTACGTGGTCTTGGTGGATAGGGTGCACCGGGAAGTGGCATTCGTATTAGATTTCAGGATGGAATGCATTGCATAGAACTTACGTGTTACGGTAACACGTTTCCCCATTCTCTCCCAGATTAAAGAGAACAAAGTTAAAGCGATGGCTACTGTTTCTTCTCTACCTCCTGGATTTGAAGGGACAGTTTGTGGAATACTCCCCGTTCCACATGCAACGCAGACAACCGTGCCCAAGCAGGCAAGAGTGAATAAGAAAGTGTCATGGGCCTCAGAAGGCGACCTGTGTCAGGTCATTCCTCATCCTCCATCTAACGTTTACCCCCTATACGAGGTTTTCTTTATTTTAGTTTGAAAACTTGTACATCTTCTATCACTGGATCTGACCTCAGAAAGTTAATCGAAAAGTGAAGCCGTATCATACTCTTACCAGGTCAATGTTTATGAGTGAGGGTTGGGAATGAAGGACAAACCTTGAAGGTATTACGTGTTTCGAAAATTCATGTTTCATATCACCTTTGAGAAGTTGCCCCTATCTGAAAATATCGAAGAATCAGTGATAACACTTCACTCATGTTGGTGTAAATTACAACACTTGTGGAATTGTGACTACAAACACATGTGATCAGAGGCTAGAAAATAATCCAATAACGCTTCAATGTCCCGAAAAAACTGTCAAGGCTTGAGAATTTCAATCCGATATGTGAAAAATGGCTTTATTTATTTTAACAAAAAACTATCTTTATTCTTGAACGAACCGTATACCTGAACTTCAAGGTTCAAGGATGCAAGGTATATCTCTTAGTAATGAAGGTGATGCGAGACAGGGTGTTGGTTACGTCTTCCGAGGCTTGTCTGGTTCTGAAGAATGCGTATAGATTACGCCTGTCGTTTACATGGTTTCTTTAAGCGCGATGAGCAATCTACATGTAGAGCTTTCGGGTTACTCTTCTTCCTTTTGTGCCTGCATTACTTTCTCGTCTACATAGATTTGATAGATGTACATGCGCTCCACTCGTAAGATCATGTCGGTGTCGCGGTGTACTTGCTGGAGTGTCTACGTTCTATCTTTGGCACAGTTTTTTCGGATAGATTTTCACTCAGTCATATACCCGCTTGTGCAGTTCTTGTTCCTTTTTGTCAAGGGACTTTGAAGAGCAGAAACACATGCTCGATATCCTTGATTTGAATAGTTTTTCTCTCGGCCGTTTTGGTCCAGTTCTCGAACTTAGATATTTTGTTAGATTTTTAATTAGATCGTCAACCGTCATTGAATTTTTCAGTGTAAGTATGTGATCATTATCGAAAGGTGTGTGTACTATCTGAGAAACTTATATAAAGTATTCCAATCGACAGAGCACTACATGGAGAGCCGGTTTGGTGATTGTTGATAGGCAAACCTAATCGTGACCAAATTTATGTGATCTAGAAACTAATTGTGGAAGAACTTGTGGACTCTAGTCTATTGCAATAACGCGAACTTGGGAGACAAAAAGCTACCCGTCATTTGGAAGGCATACATGCAATTCCTACATGGATAGCATCTCTTAAGGTCAAGGGATGTTAATGCTTACGTCAGAGTCTTTTGCGACCTCTGTAACTTGTTGCGAAGGTTTCAACATTACATGACTCGTTGTCGAAGCGGAAGAGCTGAATCAGCTTCTTGTAGATGTCCATGCTGGCCTAGTTATTTATATCGTCATTAAAACTAGTTCTACGTTTTATCTGCGAAATGCAGCAAGAATCTCAACTCTTGGTGCGTCGAAAGTAAATTGAAGTACTAATGTCGCGATTTAAGCATTAATTCTTCATTTGTTTTACTGGTGCTCGGAGTATTGGTACTCACTCGCATGAAACTTTGGGAATGTGGGTAGTCGAGATGACGACGAATACCTTAGTGTTTCTGAAGTCGCTGAGCTTCAACCAGTGTCGAAATAAACATTTTTGCATTCATAACTTTCACTTTTTCTCATAAATTACTGCACATAGGCGAATAACTTACCGCTCTCTACAGGGCATGCAATCTGATATATGCACAATCATGTGATGTAGGTGCGGCTCTTTGCAGCAGAAGATGCACCAGCTCAATCGAGTATCATGCTTCAGGACCTTCTCCAGGCCAAAAAAGCGAGATTCATGCATGCCTTGAATCCTATAGTTTCCGTAGATTTACCTCCAGGATTTGGGCCCTCCTCCCTGATGGGAGTAAAGCCACTTGTGGCACCAATCTTGCCATCTGTGTCATGGCGGATTCCTGAATGTGTAAGTTCCTATGTTCAATACTTAGACTTTTCTGAATACTCTGAAGCCTTTAGTTTTAGGTGGCGTCACACTGGCATCTTCTTTTTGAGTATGTGCAGATGATCCTGAATCTAACAGGAGACCAGTGTTTACCCCGCCAGAACTCATATTTGCTCTCCCAGCGATCGCTGTCACAACGAAAATCTGACTTTTTATTTTTTAATTAATTCTCTCTTCTAGTATAGCTTGTTCGAGGCTGCTGTCTATGGCTCAAGTGCTGGGAACTATAATCTTACGACGAAGTTTACTGTCGTATGCCCTAGCTTTATTCGATATACATCGATAAACATCTGATGCTATATTTTCGAATTCTATACAGTTCAAATTGGATCCAACATGGCTCGTGATGGCGGGGGAAGAAAGCAAGGAGGTGTTCGCTCAAAAACAGCGAGAAAACAGAACCCTTGAAGCCGTGTATCCTCGACCCTCAGCTATTCCTGAAAGGTGTGTTGATACTCGTGTGGTATTCTTTTTATATGTTGTGTTTCAGGTTAATTTCAGGTTATTTATTTGTATGATTTTGGAATTGATGAACCGATTCACTTTCTTTGTCGCTGAGCAGTCCAACAAAATGATTGTTGGCAAATCAGTACATCTGGTTGCATAGAACAGCTGCTGACACCTTAAGACTTGTGACCTTCCAGTCCAGCAGAGCCTTCCGAAGTGCAATTGCCTTTTGATGAAGATGATTCAAATACACTCATTATCCCAGTTGTCCCATTAGAAGATGACGAACTACCTGAAGCGGATGATCTTCCAACAACTTCAGGAAGCACGTATAAATCTAAACAAGAGCCGTTTTCAGGTAAGCTTCCTATCTTATTTGTTTATTTAACTATTTATCTATTTTTGCAGCTTTAGGTATTCGCATACATCAAAAGAATTACACTCTTTGGTTGCAAGCTATCATGTTACCCCTCAACTTATAAGGGTCGGACGCTGTTTTGAAGGTCGCAGCACTGATACAGGATGATATTTTGAAGCGTAATATCTGTTCTTTAACTGTTGACAATCTAATCTGAAACCCAATGTGCAGGTTTAAAATCGTTATCCCCTCCACCAGGGTTTTTGTCAACAAGCATGCCTGTGAAACCTCGAACTTGGTTTCCTGTAGCTCCCCTAGAGAATAATAATTTGTCACTACCTGCACACACGACACCAGCATACGGACCACCCGTCACCGTCAATAGAAACATAATACCTCCAAATGGCACCGTTGTGCAGACGACGAACATGTCTAACGCTCGTACGGGATCGTTGGGTCTTCCTGTTCGTGCGGCTGAGGGAGGGACAGAACCAGACGTTCCTGCAGCCGCCGCCGCTGCCTACGCGGCTTTACAGCAGTCTAATGATACAACGATGATAGATCGAGAGTTATTGATAAAGTTTCTCACAAATCCTTCAATGCTACAGAGTCTCTCTGAAAAACTTGCACAGAATCCTCCGGGAAATTATGGAGTCGTTAATCGGAGAATCCCAGAAAGTGTAGACCACAGTGGAATAGGAGCTCGTGGAAATGGACGAGTTTGGAATCCTACAGTGACTGAACATGCTAAGAGTGGACAAAGACACCTTGAAACAGCGGTAGGTATAACAGATCCTCACATGAGACATGGTTATGATAGGCCACCTGGCTTTGGGGCACCTTCAGGTGCCAACGCACTTGGTCAAGCACCTCCTCAACCCGGACAAGGGTACGCACATCCCGGGCCTCTTACCATTCAGTCCCTACCACTCCCTAACATGCCCCCACCCACTTCTGTTGGTTATGACCAGTCAATAGTATCTGGTTCAGGGCGACCTATCTCACAGCGAGACGAACAATACTACAAAGACCTCATTTCACAGCATGGAAAAAACGAGGAAGATATTTGGGGAGCAATTGGTGTGCCCGAGACTGGAAACAGTTATCCTGGAGGTGGACGGCCCAGGGCATCTGGTCTTGATAGGGAGAAGAGGTTAGGTAGCGCAGAACGAACAGAGAGACCTGAGAGGACTGACTCAAGAGCAAGGTGGGCAGGAAGAGAAGATGTGGACATGGCAGGACTTTCAATTAGGCAAGGTGACGGTGATCAAGCCAATCGGTCAGGCCAGTCTCGGGGAAAATCTCGAAAAGCCTGCATATACTTCAGCACATCCCGAGGTTGTCGGAACGGATCCAGTTGTGCATTTTTGCACGAGACTAACAACGCAGAAAGGGCAAAGAGACCGAAACTGGAAGGGAAGGAGAGCAATATAGGATATAGATAAAATTCTCAAACGGAGTTCACAAGCTCTTAACAAATCACACTAACTGTGCCCAGAATGACAGACCTAACATAAAGTGGTCATGCATGTACAACATGATTTAAGATAGGAAGGTGGAAGTGAAGCCTCGTCTGAGGCAAGCGCGGCTGCGCTTCAGTTCGACAACGCCACTTCTGCACACATGTTAACGAAGTCTTTCAAGCGGCTCAAAACTTCTGCCTTGGTATCTCGAGGAACCAAGCGGTAACCAGTTATTCCGCCTCCTAGATCTGCTGGGCGTTTCCATTTGTGCTAGGAATTAAAGCGAAACTCGAGAAGTTTTTGAATCGCTGATTGACTGCCCTCGAAACAAGAAATCATCTCTTACCACATCAGAGCGTCATGCAGAACTGTTGCTTCTGCGTATTCCTGAAACTTATGAACAAGAAGCTCCCCGCCTCTGATCCTTTTGACGAAAAACCAACAGCAGTTACGCTTCAAAAAATGTACCAAGCAACTGGTTTGAAAAGCGCTGTCGACTCCGCCGACTGGGGTCTTCCAGTAGTCCCTGGACGAATGTGACGTGGCTAAGGTGGAGGATTAATTACTGTGATTCTTTCCAACACAAGCTTGTCAGAGTTGTGAGGGCACGTAGACGGAAGTCAATGTTAATGCGCACCACGCCAGATTGTTCCTGGAGAACCGTGCAAAGAAGATGGGCAGAACTGTTCATGTACATTACACTCGTGGATTTATTCACTTTGCTTGCACCATTTTTGAGGAAAATTGCAATACCAAACTAATCACCTTGTGTCTACCTGGAATTCTGCCGCCTTGAGCATGGCGGATTTCAGCCTCCCACTGTTACATGATAGCATTTTCTCACATTCCGAGGCCTTCTGTACACATGGTTGTGCAGGACACTTAATGCAGTCAGTTGTCTTTCCACTTCCTCCCTCATTGATAGCTTCTCCAGAGCTCCACAATTGATAGCGCGTTTTCTTCACGCTTGTGCAGGGCGTATTCGTTTTCTGATTACGTTCTGCACAATCATGCATGATGTGCGATATTTTTGTCTCGTTTATTGTCCATTCTCACGTAGAGGTAGTTTCCTCCAAATGCATGGAGTCTGTGTTTTGAACATTGTAAGGTTCAACAATTTGTTTGCTAAGGGACATACATCTGTATAATAAATGATAAGAATGGAATACATACATTTATATTCTAATAATAGATAGGTGCACATTGGGACACAAACAATGAATAGAGAAAGGACACACAAGCCTCTCATTGGCTAAAACTCTATCTTTCTATTTATCATCCAGAATATTAACTAGATTTCAGCAGTGATGTTTCCAAAGGAGAATAATAACTAGAGTTGACACAGTTTACGAAAGATGTGTTGTCTTCAAAGTGGAAAATATTTCCAAAGCAAAATAATTGATGATGTTGACAAGAATAATTTTTATGCTCAATTAATTTTCCAAATAATAGTTACTTGGTCTTATTCTGTGGTTACTTGTTACATGATACGATGTTTAAATAGACATTACATAAAACACCCATTGGATAAGTTCATAATTCAACATAAAGAAACTTGGCATGGATTACTTAGCTTTCTTTGATATTTCTCTATTATTAATTTGATGTGCATGCTAATTCTTCAAAATATATATATATTTATTTTCCTTTCGAATCTTTGATCAAGTGTCCCCTCTTCATACAATCCAAACAGCAAAAATTATAATTTTTATTGCTTAGTTATATCTATATATGATTGTAATGTAAATCAAAGATATTTTTACATGATGTTTTCTATTTCTCTACTGCATTTTGAATTTAGAAGCACTTACACAATTATATATAAAGATTCATAAAAGAACATATGTGTGTTTTTAAACGTTCATACTTATATATATATATATATATATATATATATATATGTATATCCAATTTCATAATTTGAAACAAAATTACATATCTGACCACTTAGTAATATACAAAACCACATCTAGCTTTGAAAACATTCAATAGAATAAATAAAGATGAATTTATTAAAGTGGGTTCATTAAATTGTGAGAAATTCGAATTTTAATAACATTGGGATATAATGATGCTATTTATCAAATATTTCCACAACAACATATTTATTGGACAAGGAAACATGGTATCATTTTTATAAAATCACAAGTTATCCTTTTACTTTTGATCATACAGATAACTCAATAATTATTTTTAGTTATATAACATCAAATTTTCAATATTAAAAACATAAAGAATTTTTGTATTAAATAAAAGAATTTAATTCTTAAAATTTTTAAAAACAAATCTTTGACATGTCATATGATCAGATTAATTATAATTAAACAATCAAATAAAATAAGAAATTTCATTTCTCTTTTCTAATGTCAAATATATATTCATATGATCTTATTAATAATTTACTAATGTTATATTTTGATTTCTGAAAATATATATATTTTTGATAATATTACTATTATTACTCTTTATATTTGCATCTCTCTCTCTCTCTATATATATGTATGTATATATATATATATATATATATATATAGATATATATATACTATAAAATTTGTTTAATTTTAAAAACTGAAGGTTTTTAAAATAATATTTGTTCTATAAATAATTCAAAATTTAATCAGAATTTTATTTTAAACATTTGAATAAGAAGCGTGTATATATATATATATATGTCTATCAAATATTTGCAATTTGGATCTGTCTGTAAAGATGTCCTTAATATTGTGATGTTGTGGATATAAAAAATTATTGAGTGTACGTAATTATTATATTATTTGCATAATATGTGTTTGTTGTTCACATGATTATTGCATCTAATATAAATGTATTTAAAATTCTATGTAATTTGTTGATATTTTTTGTAAAATAAATCAGTTTTAAAAAAAATGTGTATTTTTATTATGGTTAATTTTTAAAATATACAAAAAAAATTAAGATATATATATATATATATATATATATATATATACCTTACTTAATTTATAACTTTGGATAGAAATTTTATAAATTATTTAAGATTTTATAATGTATTTGGGATACATATTACTAAATATGTCCTTTTGTTCTAACAAACATTATTAAGTAAACTAGGAATATTAATTAAGAGGTATCAAATAATAAGGATATATTTGTATTTTTTGGATAGATGTGTGCATATAGATATAAATAAAAAACTACTTTATAATTTTATAATGGTTAAAAAAAATTAAATTAAAAAAATTTTAAACTTATATGTTTGTATGTTTTTATAAATTTTTATAAATTTTGAGAATTACATAAATTAAAACTAAAAATATTTTACAAAGAATTACTATCAAGGATATAAACCACAAAAAATTATAAAAATACAAATACATTCTTATATTACCACTAATTAGAATGAGAATGACTTCATCCTTGCCTCTATATATACTATCTATTAAAGAATTACATAGTAATGTCTTGGAGTCCAAATGATACATGTGCAATTTGCAAGATATGTGTCTAATTAATAGAGTGAATTTTTGATATGTGTGCAACATGACCAACTTGTAATATAAGTGGCTAAATATGCAATATATAACTAAGTTGTCAATTTATCAATTACTTATAAACATGTGTAAAGTCTACATAGCTTTTAGCAAACTTCATAATCAAATATCAACAATTTTAGCTATTTCGATTTAATTCTATGTAGTTCTACTTATTTAAGTAAATGTAATAATAAATATGGCTATTCTTTACATTACTCCTTCTTCTTTCTAAGCAATAAGTTCAACAACTATTTGTTTTATTGCTTCATAAATTAATGAAGTCCAAGATCTGTCAAATGATGTTAGCAACAAACTCTGATCTTGGTTTTATACCAAGGTCATTAATAGATTTCTTTAACCATTAGTAAACTCTTATATTAGAATGAGAAGACCAGCTAATAGTTTGATCATTATTAAGATCCTCATAGCTACCTTCAAATAATATATTTTGCATTCCATCAAGTATAGTACCTTCCTTCAATAATATCACTAAGCATTGAGAGTCTCCTTCAAGATTGTAATATCAAACAAGTTGCATATGACCATGTGTTTGTGGAAAAACATGTCTCTCTTGAGGACCTTCATTATAATTGCAACCTTTTTTAGGTTGAGACAATTTAAGTGCTTCATCTCGTAATTTTACAAATAATAAGTTTTGAAATAAATTTTCTAGGTTTTGATTTTTTATGTTTAACTAAGAACCCTTCAAATTGATTTTTAAACTTATTTATCCTTAATATATTTCATATTAATTTTAATTATTAGTCCTTGATTTTAATGGATATTATCAATGAAAAACAAATTCTAATGTATTTGCTAGATTTTCATATAGCTCCTATACACATTGATTAATATTATATATGTACCAATGTATGAAATATTCTAATTTATTTTGATACCATTTAGAATCAAAAATATAAGGCTTAATAAGAAACACATAGAATAAATGATAACTCTTCATTTATAGTAGTAATTGCATTTAATTATTATCTTTTCATAATAAATAGGCCAAGTATTTATCAATCCAACTTGTCACAAGGTCAATTAGATTTAATATTACAATAAGGTAACTATATCTTATAACCAAATTTAAATAAAAGTAATTATTTTCTAAAAATATCTATATTTATTTTTTATTGTTCTTGAACCTCTTTTAATTATATCTTTATTGTTATATAAAGCTCTTTTATTTTACTTGTCAAATCCTTTGTTATAAGATTTTTAATTTTAAAAAATAAAAAGTATCAAATTATAGATAGTAATCATAGTTAATAATAAATAGAATTTTTTGTATAAAAGAATTTATTCTATTATTATTTTAAAATTCAAATAATAGTAAGAAATTTATCCAATTATTTTTTTGGTAGTTGATGGTATATAATAAATATTTTTTTAATACTTAATTCACATATTTTATTTGTTAATAAGTGTAATCAAAAAAAGTTGAGGTTAACTTAGAATTAACTTGTAATATGTAAAAGAATATCTTCCAAATGATATTTTTAATTGAGGCCCATAATCAAATATAATGTTACTTTGATGTTTATAATATCAATAAGTATTGTCTAAGAAGAGTTTAGTTGTTTCTTCATTGGTGTTGTTTTATGTAAAAATTAGTCTAAGAATGCATTTGGCATCTGGCTATAGAAGGTTATGATCTTACCTTCCAATTGGATTTAGAATCCAAAAATATATTACATAAAGAGTTTAGAAATAACTTAGTAATCCTTAACAATCAAATAATCTTTGCATATTATATTTAATTTTAAGTAAATCTTAAAAAAACTTAATTAAATATTCAAAAAAATAAAAAATATATATATATATATATAGAAATCCTAAAGAAAATATAATAAATTTTAAAAAATCAAAAGAAATTACAAAAAAATCTTAAAAACAAGAAATAAGAAAATAAGAAATATCTTTAATCAAGAAAATCAAATCTATACATGTAGAAATCATAGATGGTTGTTTATTATCCTTTAAAAGCATTATCTATGAATTAATTCTTTTAGATGTAGCAATTAAAGATCATAATAATTTAATGATATTTAATATCATTAAATCTTCTTTCAATCCAATTATTTTAGGATTATTGTGGTTAGAGAAGTATAATCCTCAAATAGACTAGATTTTTTTCATAATTTTGCCTAACATTCTACTAATCAAGTAGAAATCCATAAATCTAATATAACTAAATCCTTATTGATAGGTCCAAGAGCTTTCATACATGTTGCAAAAGAAGAATCAACTTTTGTTAT